GGTAGTGTGAGTACGCCACAACGGTACCCAGTAAGTGCCAAGCTTAACCTCGATAGAGTAGTGACGAGGTCAGGTCATGGCCCTACTGGTTTAAAGGAAAACTAAGGCAGAGAATATAATAATATTTTGAAATGACTGAGAATTTAAATAATAAGAAGTTTCAGAAAATATAAGCACAATAAATAGAGGTACACAGCAGGGGTATTCCCGAGGTACTGCCTCGTAGTCCCAAATGTAAAGATGTAGTAGTAAATATGCAGTACATGGGGGATCTCCCGAGGAACTGCCTCGTAGTTCCAAAGTAAATATACAGTACATGGGGATCTCCCGAGGAACCGCCTAGTAGTCCCAAAGTAAATATGCAGCAGGTAATCGAAGGAAAACATAATTTTTCAGCAAGAATCTTATAGTTAAAGATTTAATTCAAAACAAGGGAAGCAGGTAATTCAACTAAGCATGTTGCACAAATTGCAAGTAAGAGTTAAGGCACATAGACATGCGATGCTAGACTAAACATGATGACTACATATGTTAAGGCAACTCAGTTAATGTATTTTAAGAGAAAACAACTTCGTTAATATATTTTAAAAGATGACAAATTAGCAAGAACCAAATTTTCCATAATCAGCCCGTGTACGCACTCGTCACCTCGCGTACACAGTGCTCACATATCACAAATGGTTACAACAGTTTCAAAACAAAAGGGGATTCCACCCACAAGGTTAGACAAGTCACTTACCTCAAATGTTGCTCAATCAATCGGTAAGAATGCCTTTCCCTCGATTTTCCGACTCAAAATGGCCCAAATCTAGCCAAAAGAAATTACATAACATGAACACAACTACAAGAAACTAATTTAAATAATGAAACTAGGACTTTAGCAAAGAATCGAAAATTCGGCCCAAAAGGTTGACCCAGGCCCACGTCTCAGAATAGGGTAAAAGTCACAAAATATGAACACCTATTCAATATCAAGTTCACCCATACCAAAAATAGCAAAATCCAACACCAAGTCGCCCCTCAAATCCCCAAATTACACTTTTCAAATCCTTAGCCTTAACTCCCATACTTCACCTTAAACATACACAATCTAGGTGGGAAAAACAATGGGGAAACAAGATTATTCATCAAAAATAAGCATAAGAGACTTACCTCAAGAAATCCCTCGAAATATGCTCTCAAGAATCGCCAAAACCGAGCTCAAAATGTCTAAAATGAGCAAACAATCGCGAACCCTTGCATTTAAGTGTTCTGCCCAGCTTTCTTGCTTCTGCGAGTCCACAGCCGCATTTGCGGCTCTGCACCTGCAGAATTTCCATTGTAGGTGCGGTTCTAACTTAATCTAAGCACGTCCGCTTCTGCGGACCCAAATACGCATCTGCGCTTTCGCTTCTGCGGCCAAGGAGCGCTTCTGCGCACCCGCTCATGCAGTTCTCACGTCCCATCTGCGACCACTGGCCAAGTCCCCCAGCCCCACATATGCGCCCAATTTCTCACTTCTGCGCGCTCGCATCTGCGGTCAATCTTGCGCAGGTGCGATTACACCAGAACCAGCCCAGAAAATCTTCTAAGTCCAAAAAGAATGATCCGTTAACCATCCGAAACTCACCCGAGACCCCCGGAACCTCAACCAAATATACCAACTAGTCCTAAAATATCACACGAACTTATTCAAGCTTTTAAATCACATCAAACAACGCTAAAAATATGAATTACATCGATTCAAGCCTAATGAACTTCAAAGTTTCAAACTTCTACATCTGACGTCGAAACCTATCAAATCAGGTCCGATTGACCTCAAATTTTGCACACAAGTCATAATTGACATTACTGACCTACTCTAACTTTCGGAATCAGAATCCGATCTCGATCTCAAAAAGTCCACTCCCCGGTCAAACTTCTCAAAAATCATCTTTTTTCCAACTTTCGCCAATTAGCGCTAAAATGACCTACGGACCTCCAATTCAACATCCAAACACGCTCCTAAGACCAAACTCACCCTACGGAGCTATTGGAACCATCGAAACTCCATTTCGGAGTCATCTTCACATAGTTAGAACTACGGTCAAATCCTACAACTTAAACTTCCATTTCAGGGACTATGTGTCCCATTTCACTCCGAAACCAAAATCAAATCCTCCCGGCAAGTCACAAAACCCAAAAATGAAATAGAGGGAATAGTAAATAGGGGTTCGGGGTTAATTCTCTAAAAACGACCGGGCGGGTCATTACAGTCATGATCCATAGCAACCTACACACGATAAACACGAATGTGAGAATGAATCAAGAAATCTTATTCGCCCAAGGCCATCGTGAGAGTCAAAGATGACCCCACACTTAAAACCGAAGGCTATGTATAATCTACTCACAATAGTAGTTCAAAGTGTACAAATATTGCACCATAATACGATGGGTACTCAAGACTTCCTCATGCCATACAATTCAAGTGGTCGAACATGGCTATGACTTAGCCGTAGTGCAAGCAAGCAATACTCGAGTCCAAATTACTACAACTAGTATAATACACTAACTACTTCTAATAAGAAGCTATAAGATACATTACATATGATACAACGTGTGGGTAGTGTGATTATGGTATGGTGAACATGGAACACGAGCTTTGGATTGTGTAAAACCACCCCCACACACCCCACACTTAGCCCAGCATCACATACGACGACACTCGGCTACTCAGACTTCACCGGTGCATAATTTACTCTTTCAAGCATTATATCTAACACATGGTGGGCATTAATTTTGTTTCTCTCTCTTCAACAATGGTGAAGCAAGGAGGCCCTCCCAAATTTAAACGAAGTAGAGGGAATTGTAGTTTACTTCTTCATAGACAACTCCACAACAAATTTCATCAACCAAGTTGCATATAGAGGCCACCCACAGTAGCACATAAAGTCTAAAAGAAACTTAGGGTTGAATTTGGGGCGTGGGGGTCGTTTGGGGTTGGGAAGTAGCATGAGACACTAAGAAATTTCAAAATACAAGAAAAGAGAGAAGAAGAAGAACATACATTTAAGTTTGAGATGAAAACAAGCAAGGAGCAATGAAGAATTTGAGAGAGAGAGAGAGAGAGAGAGAGAGAGGGCAGAGAGAGAATGGGGTTTGGGGGGTTAGAGTGATGGTAGGCTATAATTACGCATTTTAGTCACTTATTGCACTCTAATTCACTGCATTTTACTTATGTTGAGCTTTAATTGGTAGTGTTTTGCACTTATTATGTGTTTTATGCCTTGTAGGAGTTATTCCGAGCTATGTAGATGTTGTGGAGATAATTCGAGTAATTTGGAGCTTTGAAGTCTGAGTAAAATCCCAAGGAATTAAGCCAGGATCATGTTCGGGGGTCGAGGACCAAGTTTGGACGTCAAAAATCAAGCAAAAAGCAACACTCTGAGAAATTTGCACTGCTGTGGCACGTGGTGCGCCACAACAGTGTATTTTTGGTTGCCTGATAGAAATTGAGCCCTTTGGATTTCCCCACTAATGCCCCGCATTGCGTATCACTCCATGCAGCGCGCCTGTGCAATATTTCCAGAGCAATTATCTTATTTCGGCCGGGAAAAGGTAGTTTCGTCTAGGCCCGACCCTACTTGATATAAATACATGGAAAACCTTATTTTCGGGATTTTTGACATAATTTGGACCGAAGGAGGTTAAGGAGGAGTTGGAATAAACATAAGCACAAGGTTTTCATCATTCTTTCCTCACTCAAGACCCGAGTTTGGATTGAATTTATGTTTTCCTATACTTTACTTTTATCTGTGTTGAGTTGCTCCATATCTATGGAGTAGTTCCATTTAGGGTTTGATTGATTTGGTGTATTGATGATTGTTTTTGGGTTATAACTCTAGTTTTATGTATTGAATCGTTTTGGATGATTTAATTGTTGCATATATATTCACTAGTCCATATAATCGAGAGAGGCATAACTTGTGATATCTTTGCATTATATTGTTGGTTGAATTCATTAATTCTTCTTAGTAATCGAAAGAGGCTAGTTGAATCATTGGTTAAACCTAGTTAGGAGAATAATCAAAAGAGGTTTTCTTAAAGACAAATCTACTACGCATTCTTGCATATCTTCACGTGCTTAAATTGGTTCATCTTGTGAGGTTAACATTTAATCAAGAGAGGAGTTTTTGTTGAACGTTTGAACTAATAATTGAGTGAATTCGAGAGACTCACTTGAGCATTAGAAGTGAATTATCTAGAGTTAGATCCTGAATAATTATCCTGCACCTATCCTATCAAAACCCTATCTTCTACCATTGATAACCTTCTTTGCTTATTCCTTGTTTCGGTTGTCATTAGTCAATAGATTTAGATTATTAGTTAATTTTAGTTAGACATCTTATAAATCTCAAATGTTGATCATCTTGGCTAGCAACCAAGCTAGAAACTATGCGAATACTGTTTAAATCCAATCCCTGTGAATACAATATTATACTTTATTATATTTGATTAGCGAGAAGAATTTAAGTGTGTGTTTTGCGCTCGTCATAGAGTTATTTTAATTAAATAGGGGAATGGGTTGGGTTATTATGTGAGTGCAAGTGGGTAATTGGGCCGGGTTAATGGGTATTGGGTAGAAATAAAACGATAAAGAAAGAAAAAAATAAAAATAAAAATAAAAATAAGCTCACCTAATGACCCCAGCCAAGTGCGCCGCACTAGGCCTGGCGCTGGGGGCTGTAAATATTCTATAAAATACGCCCTAGGTAGCGTGGGGTGCTGGCCTGGGCGCTAGTTTGCCGATTTTGTTTTTCCGCTTTTTTTTTGAAGAAACATCCCCCCACCCGAGAAATTAATACATCCATTATACACACTCCACAACATTCCTACCTATGATTTTTATAACTATAAAGAAAACAAAAAAACTAGTCTACTCTCACTAAAAAACAAAAAGCTAAGATACAAAAGCATTAAAAAATTAGGTTGCCTCGCAACAAGTGCCTGATTTATCATCGCGGCACGACGCAACACATTTCTCAAGCATCGGCCAAGTCCATAGAGGTCTTGTGACGTGCAATGTTACCACCCCAATTCTGTTTTACTCTCTGCCCATTTACCAAGAATGTACCACTTGAACTTGTATCACGCAATTCCACCGCTCCATGAGGCTTCACACTAACCACTTTGAAAGGACCCGCCCATCGAGACTTAAAATTTTCGGGGAAAAGCTTCAACCTCGAATTAAACAAGAGAACTTCTTGACGTGGCTCAAACTCGCGATGTTTGATGTGCTTATCATGCCACATATTGGTCTTTTCTTTATACACTTTGGCAATTTCGTACACGTGCAATCGAAACTCATCAAGCTCGTTGAGCTGTAACAACCTCTTCTCGCCGACTAAGTCCATATCCATATTTAGCTTTTTAATCGCCCAATAAGATTTGTGTTCAATCTCGACGGGCAAGTGGCACGACTTCCCATAAACCATCTTATATGGAGATGTTCCAATGGGGGTCTTGTATGCAGTGCGATACGCCCATAATGCGTCGTCATGCTTTACGGCCCAGTCCTTCCTATTTCTACTTATTATTTTCTCCACACTTGCTTCACCTCTTTGTTTGACACTTCCACTTGACCAATGGTTTGGGGATGATAGGCGGTGGCAACCTTGTACTTAACTCCATACTTTGCTAGAACTTTGTTCAATAACTTGTTATAGAAGTGAGTTCCTCCGTCACTTATCAGAACCCAAAGAGTCCCAAAGCATGTGAAAATGTGCTTTTTTACAAAGTTTATCACTACCTTTGCGTCATTAGTAGGAAGAGAAATGGCCTCCACCCACTTAGACACATAATCGACTGCCAACAAGATGTATCTGTGACTATTTGAGTATGGGAATGTGTCACGACCCCAATTTCTCTGCGTAGGATGTCGTGACGGCACCTAGTCTGTAAGATTAGGTAAGCCTAACAAACATGCGAGATAATTGGATTAATAATCTAAAAGCTCAAAACGTCAGCAACTGTATAAAGTAAAAACTACAACTCAAAGTATATACAACTCCCAAAACCTAGCAGATATAAGTCAGAAGCTCTAGATACAATGTTGCAAATATCCTAAACATCACTCTCTATCAAAACATAAAGAAACAAGGAAAAGATGGAATAGAAGGGGACTCCGAGATCCGCGGACATGAGCAAGTGTACCTTGAAGTCTCCAAGAAGTAGCACAACACTCTAATATCGAGGCTGATAAGATGCACCTGGATCTGCAAAAACACATGTGCAGAAGCATAGTATGAGTACACCACAATGGTACCTAGTAAGTGTCAAGCCTAACCTCGGTAGAGTAGTGATGAGGTCAGGTCAGGGTCCTACTGGGAATGATAAAAAACAAGGCAGAAGATATAATGATATAATAAAGTGGTAGGGAAGTGTAATAATAGTAATTTACGGAAGGTAACAACACGTAATCAAGAAGACAAATACAACACGCAAGGAAGCAAGAATCTTACAAGTTAAGGAATAACAACAACAACAATACAACAAATAGAGGAAATCATCAGGGGCACTCCCGAGGTACCGCCTCGTAGTCCCAAAAGTAATATCTCACAATCTTTCCTTATAATAACAACCGCAAAGCAGAAACCTTATGCCACAATAACAATCCGCACGGCAGAAACCTCGTACCACAATAACAACCTGCACGGCAGAAACCTCGTGCCACAACCAAACAATCACCTCAAATATAATCACGAAAACCAAAACATAACAATTGAAACAATGATATTTCAAGCAAAGAATCCCACAGTTAAATAATGAATACTGAATCAAGGAAGCAGGTAATTCAACTAAGCATGTTGTACAATTTACAAATAAGAGATAAGACACGTAGACATGTGAAATTAGGCTAAACATGATGACTATACATGCTAGAGTAACTCAATTAAGGAAATAAAAGGAAATTACTTAGCAAAAACTGGATTTTCAACATTTATCCCGAGTACGCACTCGTCACCTCACGTACACAGACTTCACATATTGAAAATTACCATAACAATACCAAATCCTAAGGGAAATTTCCCCCACACAAGGTTAGACAAGTCACTTACCTCAAACCTCGTTCAATCAACCAATAAGAAGGCCTTTCCATCGATTTTCCAACTCCAAACGGCTAAAATCTAGACAAAAACAATTACATACTATAAATATAACTTTAGGAAACTAATATAAATAATGAAATTATGATTTTAGCAAGAATTGGAAAAATCACCACAAAAAGTCAACCCAGGCCCATGTCTCGGAACCCGACCAAAATAATAAAATCAAAAATATCCATTCGATATCGATTCCAACCATATAAGAATTATCCAAATTTGAACTCATTTGGCCTTTCAAAACTCAAGAATTTGGTCTAAGAACTTTACACCTTTTCCCCCAAATTATTCAACCCAAATCCCTAATTAAATGAAGAAATCTAAGATAGATTAGTGGAAATTAATCAAAAACGAGTTAGGAACTCTTTCCCCAACAATCCCTATGAAAATCCCTCAAATTAACGCCTCAATCTGAGCTCTCAAAGTCCCAAAATCAAAATGAGAATAAACCCTCGATTGTTTTTTCTTTTTTCTGCACAGTTATGTTGCATATGCGACCTTACTGCCACATCTGCGGCTTCGCACCTACGAAAAAGTCATCACATGTGCGGATTTCACTTAATCCACAGGGTCCACTTCTGCGAGCATAGGGCCGCACCTGCGCTTGCACGCCTACGACAAATGTTTCGCACCTGCGACCTTAGCAGCTCATGTGCATCTCCTCACCGCAGAAGCGAAGCCGCTTCTGCAGAACATTGTCCGCATCTGCGAGCCCTTGCCTGGGCTGCCTTGTCCGCTTCTACGTTCCCTCAAGCACACGTGCGTTTTCGCACCTACAGTCATAACCTCCGCATGTGCGATTATACTAGAAGCTGGGAGCTTCAGCTTTTGCACAAGTCCAACAATTGATCCGATATCGATCTGAATCATACCCGGGGCCCCGTCCGAGTATACCAACTAGTTCCAAAACACATAACGGACCTACTCGAGGCCAAAAACCATATCAAACAACGCTAAAAACATGAATCGTGCATCGATTCAAGCCTAATGAACTTTGAACTTCTAATTTTCACTTTCGATGTCGAAACCTACCAAATCACGTCCAATTGATCCCAAATTTTCACACAAGTCATAATTGACATTACAGACCTATTCTAACTACCGAAATTAGAATCTGACTCTGATATCCAAAAAGTCCCCCCCCCCACCCGGTCAAATTTCCCAAAAATCCACCAATTTTCAACTTTCGCCAATTAACGCTGAAATAACCGACGGACCGTCAACTCAACATCCGGACACACTCTTAAGACCAAAATTACTATACTGAGGTATTGGAACCATCAAAACGTCATTCCAGAGTTGTATTCACACAAGTCAAACCACGGTCAACTCCTACAATTTAAACTTCCATTTTTAGGGACTATGTGTCCCATTTCACTCCGAAACTCACCCAAACCTGACACCAAGCACCCCGGCAAGTCACATAACCAAAAAATGAAGTAGAGGGAGAAATGAATATTGGATCGAGGCTAATACTCTCAAAACGATCATCCGGGTCATCACAGAACGATCCCATGAAATCAATTCCCCAAAAATCAAAGATCTCTACTGCCAGAATATTTTGCAACGACATCTCGTGCTTCCTTGTGATTTTTCCGATTATTTGGAACATGTCACACTTTTTAGCAAAGGCGTTTTCATCCTTAAACAATTATGGCCAATAGAAACCCGATTGTAACACTTTTGGGAGGTTTAATCCCCATTGTGATGACCTCCATATGGAGAAACGTGACAGTCATGCAATATCGCATTTATCTCCTCCTCAAGAACACACTTTCGTACAACCTGGTATACACACTGCTTATATAGGAATGGCTCATCCCACAAGTAGAGTCTTACATCATGTAGAAATCTTTTTCTGTTATCAGGTGCAAATTCTGGTGACATCACCCCACTTGCAATAAAATTCACGTAGTCTGCATACCACGGGGCTGCACTCGAGGTAACTACCAATAACGGCTCATCTGGAAAGGTTTCCTTAATCAAATCTCTCTCAGCTACATGGTTCCGATTTTTTTAATCTGGACAGGCAATCAACCACTTAATTCTCTGTTCTTTTTCGATCTCAAATATCCAAGTCAAATTCTTACAAGAGTAGAACCCATCAAAGCAGCCTCGACTTGGCGTCTTTCTTTTCAAAAAACACCTTATAGCTGAGTGATCTGTGTAGACGATGACTTTGGTTCTCACTAGATTGGATCTGAACTTGTCAAACGCCCACACCACTGCAAGCAACTCTTTTTCACTAACAATGTAGTTCATCTGGGCTGGATTCAGAGTTTCGCTCGCGTAATAAATGTAGTGAAAAATTTTATCCCTCTTTTGCCCCAAAACAGCTCAGATTGTGACGTCGCTCGCATCACACATCAACTCAAATGGCTGTGCCCAGTCCGGGGCAATGATAATTGGCGCAGTCACCCATCTTTTCTTCATATCTTCAAATGCTTTCAGACAAGCATCATCAAATTTGAAGGGGGTATCTTTCTCAAGAAGCTTGCACAGAGGAGAAGAGATTTTTAAAAAATCTTTAATGAAATAACGATAGAAACTTGCATGGCCCAAGAAGCTAAGAATGCCCTTAACGGATGTTGGTGGGGGCAATTTTTCAATCGCCTCCACCTTTGCCTTGTCCATATCCAGGCCATTTTTAGACACATTATGCCCCAAGACTATATCTTCTCGTACCATGAAATGGCACTTCTCTCAGTTTAGCACCAAGTTTGTCTCTTCACACCTAGAAAGCACTTTATCAAGATTCATTAAACAATTATCAAAAGAATACCCAAACACAGAAAAACCATCCATGAACACTTCTACAAATCTTTCAACAATGTCAGTGAAAATAGCCATAATACACCTTTGAGAAGTCGCAGGTGCATTACATAGACCAAATGGCTTTCTCTTGAACACATACGTGCCATAGGGACACGTAAATATGTCTTCTCTTGGTCCTCTGGGGCTATATCATTCTGATTATACCCCGAATAGCTATCTAGGAAACAATAGTATTCATTTCCAGTTAGTCTATAAAGCATTTGGTCAATAAATGGGAAGTGGAAGTGGTCCTTGTGAGTGGCATTGTATAATTTTCTATAATCTATGTAAATTCTCCACCAGTCACAGCTCTTGTGGGAATTAAGTCATTATTTTCATTAACCACTACAGTCATCCCCCCTTCTTAGGCACACAATGGACGGGGCTTACCCATTTGCTATCAGAGATTAAAAATACAATACTTTCATCAAGCCACTTAATCA